GGAGAAACTCCAAAAAAACAACAATCATGAATCATGGACTACCACCGCCTGTTTTCACTCAGATCTATCTTGTTACTTTCCTCTCCAGTCATCCCAACTCCTCTAGATGTACCCATTTTGATAGTTGTAGTTGTGGGTCATTTTCTAAATGAGAGTGGTTGACTTCTTTATTTCTGTAGTGTCTACACCTTTAAGGCTAATGTCTGGACATCTCTTACCAATAGAGACGTAGTTGAACAATGCTACTGATAGTTGACTTCAGACCCCCAAGTATCTAGCTATAGTTTGTTCCTCTAGTTCGACCAACTTGCATTCATCTCAAGTTGTTTATACTGTGTCATGCACCCTTCCACTGAAGCTGATGGAGTCTCAGAAACATATACTGGCGGTAGTGATGAGGTAAGAATTTCTTCTGTATCTCCTTCCTCATATTCTCCCATCTAATAATCTTGTCATTTTTTTCTCACCTTTGTCTCTGCAAATTTTCCCACCACAAAGAAACACTCCTTTCCAATTCGATAGCTGCGAGCTTCACCCTCCAATCTTCTGCAGTTCCTTGTACTCGAAAATTTTGTCAACCGACTGCATTGATTCAATGAAAACATATAGATCCATCCCTCTTTCGAATTATGGTAGATCCACTTTCACTCTAAAATTTCTATGTCCTTAATATGCGCCTGCTATATCGAACTTCTCTAGTAATAAACTTCAAAGCATCGGGTGTAGTTCTAAGCATCACTAAATTCCTCCCTATGGAAGGGGCTCTCATTCTTATCTCCTCTTTGACTCGTTGTATCTCAATCAAGAGTAATTTTCCCCTGGGTCTAGTCATCGATCTCTGCAAGACTCTACTGAAGCCAATAGATCTATCGTGGTATCTCTTCCTGGTAAGTTCCAGCATGTATCTCCATAGTTGCATGGTTAGGGTTTGGATACGTGCAACTGGAAAATTTGGTGGGTGATATGAGTGAAATGCTAGAAATACCATTTGAGTTAACCCAAACGTCAACAGAAGGTTAAAATTATTGTTAAAATTCAAAAAGGGTTGTTACAAACAAAACACTTGGAAATAGGAAAATAACCAATCAAAGACAAACACCCCCAAGGGCAAGGTTCGAAGGAGGTGGATTGCGTGTCAAGTTAATGTAAATGGTAGGGTGATCTAGTGACAGTGAGGGGAAAATTGCCTTGCGGCTGGACAGCAAGGAGGGGAGGGTTGTTAAAGGCAGTGATAAGGGGAATGGCAGGGGCAGCAGCAAGTAACATGTGGTAACAAGCAAGCAGGAGGGTTGGAAGGGGAACGACAACAAGCAAGAGGGGTTTGGAAGGGGAGACAGCAGAAAAGAAGGCTTTTGAAAGGTGAAAAAACAAGCATAAAAAACGGGCAAGAAAGGAGTGCAAGAGATAATCACCATCTTGGAGCAAGATAAAGCTGCAATACCATTTGTCCTCGAATACAACCCTATCAAGGGAGAAAGATCCCAATAACAGAAAAACGGAAGAAAAAACTGAACTTAAATACAATAAGTAACATAAATATAGTCTTAAAGAGGAGTGCACGCCGCTCCAAATAAGAGGGAACCATACACAAGGACCGCTTGGTTCTCCTTCTGCCAGGATCGAGCCGAACGGTGTACACCATTTGTTGTGCCCACTACAGCATTGGCACCCCCGCGTCATTCTCATAAAGTAACTCATGCGCCATTAAGTCTGTGTCTCTTCCACTCCTCATACTCAAGCCCATCTGATAAACAAATTCGTTTGGAGAAACTAACTTTGGAATGAAATCAGTGACATGTTGGAGAACTCTGAATAGCGACCACACATAAAAGACTCCTTTGTATTCTCGAAAAATACCTTGATCCCATTGTAAGAAGTTCTTTCGACAAAGCTCTTAAATTGATCTTTAAAGTTTTGATTCATCCCCCTGTCTAACCATCTGTCAGTGGGTACACTACCGAACTGAATTTAATGCCCAAATGATTCAATATGATCTTCCAGAAGTAACTAAAAATATTTTCATCTCTGACATGTTGGACCTCCCTCGGTAAAGGCAACTCAAAGGGTAGGTTATATATCTAAAAATTCTGAAATTCTATTATCTGGGATTGCCATGTGTCTGGTGTTGATTTCTAAAACTCATGACTCTCTTGAACAACTAATATTAATCCTATTTGAGTATCTCTCATGGGCTTAGCCTGAATGACGTGCATCTCTCTCCCATCAGTTGAAAGCTAGTACTACTTTGGGTCCTCACCTTCATTAGTATCTATTGTGTCCTCATCCATTTTTTCAACTGTTTTCTTCTCAGTGAAATAGATAAGACTCTTATTTGGGCAAACTGATGCACTATGTCAAAAATCGCAGCACTTATCACACTTCTTAGTTTGGACAGATTTGGGAATGTGGCTTGGCTCCACCTATTCTCCATTTCAAACTAATTACCCTCAAATGGGGTCGACTTGGATGCTCTGTTAGGTGTACTCTTGCAGCTTGATCCTAGGATTGAACTTTGTCGATCAAATGTGGATGTCATTCGACGATGTTGTCTCGAAAACAAGTCATGTCTATAACAAATTGATGAGTACTTGCACTGCATCTCTCATTTCATTTTGAACCAGATAGTTATTTTTTTATTCCCTTCCTGCTGACGTGGGTGATTCAGATTTTTCCACCATAGCAACGCGTCCTTTTACATAGAGGTGGCTGGCTTTACTATTCTGCCAGTGGGACTTTCTGGTACTCAAAGATACGTTCCACTACCTAAAACTACTCAATGAACTCATCCAGATCCATGTGATTGTCATCATGTCAATCAAATGTGGAGGTCACTAGATGATGTTTCGAAAACATCTCATGTCTGTGATGAAATGATAAGTACTTGCGCTGCATCTCTCGTTTCATGTTGAACCAGGTAGTCATTTTGTTACTCTTACTGCTGACGTAGGCGCTTCAAATTTTTCCACTACAGCAACGCGTCCTTTTACTTGGTCGTGGCTAGCTTTACCATTCCTCTAGTGGTACTTCCAGGTACTCAAAAGCACGCCCCACTACCAAAAGCAACTCGATAAACTCATCTGGATCCATGTGACCACCAACATATGGCAAGTCACGTTGCATTGCAAAATTTTAGCATCTCAATTGATATTTTATGCTAAATCTCCAGGATATTGGTTCTTCATCACTAAAAACTACTCTGTGAAAGGGATTCACTGCATCTTTTCGATATGACGAATTACCATTATCGCTACGGGTGACTCTTTAGGATTCTCTTCACAACGGCAATAAACCTTTGTTCAAATTGGAGGATTTCCCAACAAAATTCATGGACAACTCTTTGTAGGTTTCTAAAAAGCAGCATTGTGTGATTTCCTCCTGATCAAGTATCCAACTATTGTCTCCTTGGTGATGTGGCTAGAGTGTAAGTTTGAAGGGGTGAAAGCGTATGAAGGGATAGTAGGTTATGTGAGATAAAAAAAAAAATGTTCTGTGAAGGGGAGCTAATTTGTGGTAGGTTATGTGAGATAGAAGATGTTAGGCGGACTGGAAGTGATGGTAGTTGGTCGGAATGGGTAAGATGGGGTCTTGGAGGATGGCGGTTACCATATAGAGAGGTTTTTGTGCAATGGGTGAGGGACCACACCAAGTACAAACGGCTAGAAAGGTTGTGGACTGCAGGAAAAGGCAAGGGGAAGGGCAAGAGCACGTAAAGACGGAAAGGACAGCAAGACAACAAGAATGGGAGATGGTAAGGGGTGGCTGGGAAGGTTGATGGCAGCAGGAAACAGCAAATAAGGGGTCGGAATAATGATGGCAGCAAAGAGGAAGAGTTAAAACAGCAGCAGCGAAGATGGAGGCTGGAAAAGTGATGGAAGCGAAGCTAAAGTGGTGAAATAGCAGTGGCAACAAAGATGGAGGGTTGGAAGAGCGATGGCAGCGAAGAAGAGAGAAGGGAAGCCAGAGTAGGCGGATGGCAACGCAGATAAACAATCAAAAAAACTATTTGGGCGGCTGCAGCAATGACGGGCAACGGGAGAAATGCGGGAAGGATGCATAAAGGAAGAGGAAGAATAATCACAACCTCATGAATGAGATATAGTCAGAGCACCACTCGACATTCCGATACAGCCCTATAAGGGATGATCACTATCTCTTTCAATTTTACTAAATGTCCCCCCTAAATTTGACACTACAACACCTTCTAGGAATTCTAGAACAATGTCGATCCCATGCCAAACCTAAAATCCGCATAACCTTAATACCGCACCAAAACCATCGACATATTATCCACATAGCGACAAGCTTTTGACCAACACCAAATCCAAAATTTCATCATTTCCTCAACTGTGTTCAAGACGTTACCATGAAAAATGTGCTTCAGAAAATCATTCAATTGCAGTAGAGACTCACTGATTTTCGAAAGAGGCAACATGAGAGAGTCACCCACAAAAACAACAGTGACTACATGGGGAGAGAGGAAGAAAATTCTTTTCACCAAAAAAAATCTCAAGAGACGAAGAAAAGAAGTTACGTCGTTTCAAAATTGAGTATAAGTGGAGGGAAGATACTTTTGAGTGAAGCTTGATTACTAGATTTTGACAATCATATGGATGTAGAAGAGTTCACTGAATGACTACAAACAGTAAAACAAGTCTTTGAATATAAGTTCTTTTGATAAAACGGTAAGCTAGCGGTAATTAATTTAAATAAGAGTACTTCCTTGTGGTAGGAGGATCTATTGTGTTCGCACAAGAGCGAGGGAATAATCAAAAATCACGATCCGGTCAAAAATGACGAAAGAGATGCAGTGCAACTAGCTTCTAGCACACTGCAGGAGAGATATCTTTTTGACACTTCAACATTTGTAACAAAAGAATCTGTCAGTAGTAAGAGGATTATTACATGTCACTAAAAAGTGTGGGCTAGTTTTTTGAGACATTTGATTTCGTTCAATTACTGCTATGGATCTCTCTCTTATTCTTTAATATTAAACCATTTACCTTTGGGAAACCAGTCATTAAGTGTAATCCAGGTGACTATTTGGGCTGTGCATCTAGCCTATAACACTCACAAAACTTTTGTTTGTTAATTGATATTAAAAAACAAAGGTCTGCACGTTGTTAAATATAGAAACAAAACCACCTGATGTTTCAGTTTTTAGCATAAGCCGAAAATTAGCATTTACAAGTACACAAAGAGACACTCAGGAAATAACACAACGAAAAAACCAAAAAGAACTTGCATTAAAGTTACTAGAAGAAACAATTAACACAACTCCTGGACATATGAAACTGTATGTTAAAATAAAAATTTGATTTCATACTAGTAAAAAAAATAGTAAATAAGCTTCAAAGCAAATAAAACTGGAAAAAACAACTTACCTGAAGTGTTTGTGATGCAATATCTACAATTTTAACAGAATTATCAAGAAGATCCTTGTTCAAAAGACGCAGAAGGCTTATCAAAAGATCATCTGTGATGCAAACATCGGAAAAAAGCCCAATTTTCTTTGAGCTAGTAAGGGAAGATGGAACATAAGGTTGACTCATCTTGTCATTTTCAGGCAAACGAAAAACAACCTCATAGGGTTCTCCAATGCCTACCTGAAAACAAGATATATACAATCTCAAAAAAAGGAAAAGCCTTTTAAAAAATCAATACATTCAGCAAACAAGAAACTGGAAACAGACCCTTGAAATAAAATCAGCAAGCAATCCACTTATATCATTTGCATCATCTGACCCAATCAGCTGCACAAGATTCCATACTGCATTAACAATTTCCGGATCACTATTCCATCCATTGGCATTTTCTGCACTATATACTGCATCACTATTTTGTGGAATGATTTCGTTCATTAGCAATCGTTTATGCAAGCTCTGCAAGCTAAGAAATGGCAAGAAGAATTTTAAGTAGTTTGCAATAGTTAAAATAAAATAAAAATTAAACAATCTAAAATTTCAAAATAGTTTAAGAAAAAAGAACTTTAATACCTTAACAGGAGTAGTTCCCTTGGGAGATGAGGACTCCTACGCACAAACTATAGAAAAGTCAAATATGCTTGCGGATAATTAGTTTTCTATAATATTAATTATAGAAGGGATAGATAAAGATAAGATACCATTAGAAAGCGATCTCTTGCTGAATAAGCTTTGCAAAGGTCTTCATGAAAAATTCTTATTTTTCTTAAACAATCTAGTTCAGGAAAAGGCTCCAGATCCTTCAAAAAACAGCAAATTACAGGCAAAACAGGCAATTATATATATACA